TTTTTGGGGGGGTTCTGTTTTTGTTGTTTGTTGTTGTGTTGCTTTTTGGTGCAACATCTCACCATGCAGTCCAGACTGGCCTTCAACTCTGTTTAGCCCAAAGTGGCCTCGCACACAGCCATCCTCCTGCCTCAGCCTCCCGTGTGCTGGGATTACAAGCATGTGTCTGTACACCTGGCTTGCTACATTTGAAACAAGAAACTGAAACTCAAGTACAGTAATTTTGCCTATCAGATAGACAGTAATGTTGTCAGGCTGCTTTGCTACCTTAGCTTCTCACATTTGCTTTTTTTTGCGGAACCGGGGATTGAACTCAGGCCCTTGCGCTTGCCAGGGAAGCGCTTATCCCACTGAGCCATCTCCCAGGCCCTAGACAGTAATGTTGATGAGAGTGTGAATAAGTTGTATCATCCTATACCAACATGGGAAATATGTGGTTGAACAGCACGCTGGAAGGCTAGTTTGCTAGCACACAGCTCAGTAACACGAGCCCCTGCCTAGGGTGCAGCAGGCTTTGAGTTCAATCCTCAGCACCACAATAAAGCAATAAAATAAAATTTAAATGGTAGTTTTTAGCCTAAGGAATTCAGCTCAATAGACTGCCTCCTAGAAATACCAGTGCAAATACAGAAAGGCTGTGCACTGAAGCACTTTTTGAATCACTGGACACTGGGAATGATTTTAATATCCAAGAGTTGGGAACTGATTAACTCATGTGCAAATGTTAGAAAAAGTTTGGATAAATCTAAGAGAAACGTAACAGGATTACTTCTAGACAGTAGAGTGGAGGAAAGGAAGGGCTTTTTACTTAATGCAGTACTTACGTGTGAAATTTTCAGGTTAACATAAATTACTTGTCAATCTGGTGGGAGAAGTCTGAATTTGGTCAGCTTCTGAACAGGCAGTAAAGTGGGAGGTTGATTCTCTGAAGAGAAAGTGGAAACTGTGTTTCATTTTGAATTTTCTTGTTAGTATGTTTTCCTTCCTCTCTGCTCTTTAATTCCCCAGCCCTGGCTCCCTTCAGAACCGCAGAAGCAGTTTCTGGATGACTCACAGGCCTGTTTTGACCTTCTTCTAAGTATGGCTAATTGATTCAGAGTGCCCAGGATCTGCGTTCATTTAGTCTGGTTACTGTTTATAGTGGACTGCTTTTAAGAGATCCTAAGGATTTGCAAGATACCATTAGCAAATTGTGTATTTTGTGCCACTTCCTTTTGATCCCCTGCTCAGGGCCTGCTGGAGCTCATCGGTGAGCCCAGGAGCTGCCAGATGCCTGTGGTGGTGTTGTGGAGGAGCTTGTGCAGCTACTGGCAGACAGAGCTAGCTTCCTGCTCCTGCATCCAGGCAGCTCTGGTAATGTCCTGAACCCACTTGGAAGTTTTCCTTTCATTTATTTTTATTTTATTTATTTTTTGTGTGTGATTTTTTTTTTTTTTTT